ACGTGGAAGAACATCGCTGAGGCAGACCTGCCGGCGTCGAGAAAGATGGGATCCTTTGCCGCAGCAGTAAACCTTGCCTAATATGAATCTCCAGTACTATTTCCAGTGTTCAAACTTCATAGATCTGGGTTACTCCGTTGCTGAATACCTGTTAGCCTCAGAAAACGATGACAAAACAACAACAGCAACAAAGTTAACTCTATGAAGACGTAGTGTGAAAAGGTGCAGGAGAGAATGGCAAAAACAAGTTGGTTAATGCAGTATGATTTTGGAAAATTAATTTCAATTACCTTCATAGAGGACGGTTGCGTGCTAATTTTATTAACGTTTACGTTAAAGCCTCGGAGTTTACGAAATACAAAGGAGAAAAGAAGGAACGTTTATAACCGTTCACAGTCGATCTCTCTCACACCTTCATGCTTTCATGATATTTAATGATTGACGCCGCTGATATTCGTTACGTAACATCAGTCAAGAGTTGCATTCACTTGATATCGAAGGCAACGGGTGCATCATCCCGATCTTAGAATAACCTGATAAGAAAGTTGGTGTGTTTCAGGAAGTGTAAATGCTCTTTTGCCTGGTATACCATTTCAGTTCAGACCTGCAGTCGAGAGGCATTCAGGCAGTCGGCACTACTATTTCTGCTGAGAGGCGTGGAAAACTGAGCGGTGAGAAAAATTACATCTTATCAGATAGATGCTAAGCTAGCTAGGCTATCATCTTCGGTAGTGTACCATTCAACCGCGGTAATATTGTATAATGCTGACAATGTGTCTGTACAACATATGTGACTGTGTATCGTGACAGTTGTTTAGAGTTACCTGTGAAAGTAAACTTAACTGAAACTTTATGTACGTACGGTTTTCCATGTCCAACTACCTAACAAGAGCATTCCCTGATTCTACCACGGCTGTGACATCTTATAGTGATCATACTGCATTGAAAAGTTTGGTGCCACTACAGCCCATCGCATACCTTCCTCTTCTCAACTGCTACTTACTGACGTGTCTCAAAACGATTAAACAAACGTAATATGGAAAGCAGAAAGTCACTTAAAGAAGAACCACATGGCCCTGCCATATACAACGGCGTAGATTCTCTGTCACTAGCAGGGTGGCCGCAAAAATGTGTCACGGACAATCGGACCTTGAGTCAGTGGCAGCCGAGAGATAGTTATGTTATGTGCACGAGGCATGTCTCTGGTTACAAAAACGAGTGAAGGGGCATCGGACTCCTGCACAATCGCTCTTCAATCTTTTCTTAAGGAAGCCTTATTCTGAACAGCGGGAATGGGGGAGGGGAGCGGTTACTTATAACTGCTTCATTACAACTTGCGATTATTCGTTTATTCTACTTCCTAATGATAGTACGATATATAGCAGATAATGAACAGCTGAGCACACGAAATTTTTAGCTGATATTTTCAAGCAGGTCAACGAAAAATGCATAAACTACAGTTACAGTTCGCCGGTGGCAGTAGAGTAGGCCGTAGCCTGTGTTCAGCGTAATAAATCCATAATACCGGAGTGATTATGATTATGATAAAAATGATCAAATTCTAATAATCTATAGAACACGTTCGTCAAGGCTCCTTTAAGCCTCTCACTTAGTGCTGCCCTTAGCAAATCATACTGTAGAATGTGCAGAAGGAAAGCTTCGTCGAAGCGTATCGTTACTGTTTGAGTAACATTACGACATTAGCCTAATCTGCTTGATGCACAGTTATAGCGAACTGATCGATTCGCGATCGACATCAAACAGGCCTTGATAAAGTTTGTATTGCCCATTTTACGGGCTTCACGACAACATCGGTAGCTTGATCACGCTAGCCTTGACGGGTGATAACGGTGTAGCAACTAGACGAATTGGCAATAAAAGTTTTATCATTTGACACTGTCCGGATCACCGATCTGCGGATCACTCTTAACCACAGATCACCAATTAAGTTACAGTTTCAACAACGGGTCCGGGTCCAAACTAAAAAACTCGCTCTAGAATCTCAGGTGCTTGCTTTAAGGCGACATGCGTTTACCCATAGTGAAACTGATGCCTGCGTAACCTGTTTCAGTGGACCGATTGTCGGTGAGGAGTTTAATTTCTGTCTTGTCAACGGTGCCACCCACTCCTTCTCCACATTCGTCTCACCGTTACCAAACGTTTCGCATTCAACCTGGAAACACAGCGTTCGATCGTTTCTCCATGGTGTCATCGAAAATTGGTCGGCACGGCATCATTCGGAACGACTACCAAAAAGGAATATCGTTGAGCATGCAGGGATCTAAGGACGCACTTCATACTTCAGTTAGGCGCGGTGATGGCC